CCTGGTGGTCTAGCTTCAATTGACTCATGATCTCAACTATGCAAGAAGGAAAACTTAAGTATTATAATCGGAATACTGACTGGTTTATTATTTTATACATGTTGTTATTTTTTCATCGCTTCGAATAATCAAATAAACCCTTAAGAATGTTACTTCTCTGTCACTGTAGGGTTGTAATAAATTTGTAAAAACAATAACTTATATAAACTACTTACTAATTTTGTTTTCAATATCGGAAAACAGAAAATATGAAGTCAAAGTTTATTCAAGTTTTGATTAACCATCTAAATGTAGTTAGTATTTATTTTACCTATTTTAGAGTTTAAATATGTCAATGCATTTTGTTTCTACATGTGTTACATTCATAATATAACATAAAAATATGTTGATTTCAATAGTTAGACTCTTTGAGTCCTTGTTGTTATGTCTCTTTTGATTTTAACCTTTATTTCAAGAATTTTCAACATCATTAAAGTATCATAAGACCGGATGAAATTATGGCTTAATGGTTAAAGTAATTGATCTTTAACCACTGGATTACGATTTCAAACTCTGTGTTAACAGCTACGATTAGGATGTTAGCGTAGTATCATGAGGCTTTGCACGAGAAAAAATATGGTCTCACAACAGTGTAAATCAAAATGCACACAGTAGTTTCATACATAGTCTGTAAATCTTAGAGATATTCACTTCGATGTTTGAGTACACTTATGATTTTACGAAAAATTCAGAATCAAGTTATGATATAATCATTACATTCCTGGCAAAAAAGAACCGGTCTGAAACCACTTCTCTTTTCTTATCTGCACATATTTATTGTAAATTTTTTCACTCCTCCCTTCATTATATTTCCATTTTAATAATCACAGTAATGTAGGATGCTGGAAAATTAAATTTCTTGAAAAGTATCTTGTATTTAATGACACTGAAGATGTTTGTCTTAAAAAAAATTAGAGAAAATTCTCTTCAAATGGAAGGAGAAATGAATAAAGAAACAATTCGTATCAACTACTTGTAATACTATGTATAAAATCAACTAGAACATGTGGGGATGTGAATTTATTAAATTTTTATGCCATAATAAGTAAACTATTTGACAGAAAAACGTATCTTCAGTCTTACACAGCATTGAAGTGCATGAACACTGTAACTTAATGTGATAACATGTTTTGAACGTATCAGAAGTGTTTATACTTTCTCTTAGGTAGGGAAAATTATTTTTTTACTTTATTTTTCATATCACAAGAAATATACAGTAAAATGCATTTCTTCTCCGTGACTGTTATTTTACAAAAGCTAATAGGTTGATTTGTGAGAAATTAGACAAAATTATAATATTTTGGATGCTTTTTTTTCAAGATCAACCAAAAGAGTGATTTATTATTCAATTAAGTGTTTTTTAAGATCTGTTATCAATAAAAAGAGGTTCTCACCACGGATTAAATCCAGTCAAACCATAAAATATCATAATGGACAGATAGTTTATATTAGTTTGTAACTTTAAGTCCCAATTTATGATTGCACACAGAATAAGAATCAACAAGTAATCGGGATCCAACTAGGTATAATTTTCGAAATCACTTTAATTACATCATCAGTCAAATTAGGTTGTTGAAAATCTTTCTTAAATATCTCGGTAAATATGTGAACCTGTTAGGAGTATTCAAATTCACATTGGTTAATCTAAAGTAAAACAGCAAACGGAAAATTTCCAAAAACTGGATGCCTTGCGTAAATGTGGTGTTTGTACGAAATAACAATTCCTTTGTACCTGATGATTGCTTGATTTTGAATTACAAATACAATACATTCGTTTGTGCTCATCTAATACTTTTTAATTAAATTGCGTTATTTCTGAGATTCCTAGTTTGTACCATAATTCAAATACTTCTAATTATAACAATAAAGATTAAACTAGTACATTTTTGTGTTGGATTACGAGATCCTGTAATGAATTTCTTCAGTTTTGTTTTTAAACGTTGGGAATCCATTTCTAAAGATTGTTAACGATCCAGTTTATCAACACTTGTCTTTAGCTATTAGAAAAACAAATATAATCAAATTTTATCTATACTTAAAATGACTCTATACATACATTGGTCGACTTGGTGAATTAAAATTTTTAATGAAATTATCATCTGTGTAAAATAATAGTTACTGGTTTACGGTCAGTTTCTAGTACTCATATTAATTAAAATAGTTTTATTGACTTTAGCCACATTTTATTTTTCCCGAATTCGACTTATTGTCTTCTTTGAAAATAATTTATACTTGGTGACTTAGACGAGTTCATAATCCAACCGATTGTAATACTTTTTTTTCTTTTCTAACTACCTTTAAGTTCAATTGATAATAATTCATATCATAAAAACCTAACTTGTAGGATAGTATACAAATTTTTGCCTTATAGATGAAATTCGACAGATGAATTAACATGAGATATTTGACATAGAAACGAAGTAAAAAGTGGACAATTTACCACAATTAAGATAATTTCATATATATTGACATGGTTATAGATAAGTTTCATCACTGGATGAGACTATACATACCACAGACTAGTGTCTATAGATAATTTATGGCAAAATTTTGAAAATAAAGTTCACAAACTTTTTCAAAGTGATATGCAATCTAATAAACCCACCAATTTAAATGGATAGATTTTGGAGATTTTTCTTAGTGTTAAGTGGTTAGAACTGGTCGTCAGGGTGCCATGTAAAGAAGTTTCGTACCAACTGACACACGTCTGTAAGTAATTTCTGAAATTTAGAAATGATACACTTGATAGGGATTCGGACTTACACTATCCAGTGAAGATCAGAGATCTATAGGTGAGCGATTCATATAAAGGCTGACCTCCAGTAGTGCTGAAATATCATTAAATAATTACTAATTTTATGTTGCATAGTTACAATATATTGATCAACCATTGTTAGATTTATGTTCGCCTAAAGATGATTTTTACCATTTTGTTGAAATAAGTTGAAGGACCGGTGATGGAAAGCATGTACAGAAATTTCTAAATTTTTCAAAGTATTTTTTTTATTTGATATTAATTTTTAACACAAATCATCTACAAAAGTGTTACAATAGAAAATCAGTGCCCCTAATTGAATTTTACTCGGACGTCCCACGAACATGGAAATTAAACAAACTCGCTCGCTGTTGAAAGACGTCCTCTATTTGCTATTTCACAACCAGTTTTTTTTATTTGCCTAATTGAAATATGTTGGAGTAATAATAAAAAAATTCACAATCCTGTTGAGTAATTGAGTCTTATTTTGTAAAAAGCTACTAATGGTATAAAACATGTAAGAACATACTGATATAGGAAACAATGTGTATCATGTTAACAAGATGAAGTAAAACATTTATATCGAGGTTAACCGGAGTAAATGAGACTTAGTAATAATGATGGCTTTATTATAATGCGGCGAAATATTTTGGGTATAAAATATTCCAACGAACTCTTCTTAATCTACAATGCAGATATATATGTTTCAAAATTCTAAAGCAATAAAATCTCCTTCATATTTACCCATTAATTTCTTCCCCATATCTCAACCATACTGTTTGTGCTAGTGGTCGCGTCAACGTTTAGTAGCCTTCATAATTATTCATGAGTAGTTGAGTACATATATTTTTTAATAATGAAATATTCTTGATTAATCCTTTGACATTACAACAATGGTGTAAAATAATGGTATTGGACAAAAGATTCAGTATAACCCAGCGCCTGTTTCAAGATATTCTTACTGCTTCATCAATAAGGTACTGCTTATGAAAATCTTCGCGCGTATCAAATACTTAAGGATTTTAGAACAGAGTTTTTTATTTGTTATTGCTTAAAAACCCTATAACAGATTTATGTCTACCATTTTCCTTGTATCCAGCAGTATAAAAGCTTAAGAACATGTTGTAAAAAGTTTAAAGATGGTCATAATGATATATCGAATTAGTTCATTAAGCTACTGGCAGTTAGTCTCAGACGTGCTAGAAAATATAGGTTTTCTTGGTGGGATCCACAAGATAACTATATTTGGTAGTTAAATACCAGATAAAATGGATTTAAATTGGTTAAAGGGATGAGGACAAACTTACTTGTCGTTATCATTTCTCTATACCTTTAGTGCTCAGGTAGAAACAAAGAAAAACGTTGTTTGATCACTAGTGATGCAACCTAACAGTTATATGTAAATACTTGAGTTTCTCGGAAGCCTTTAATACGAGTAAATATGATGAAGCAATAAAATCAGCCCTAATTTAGTAAAACCACAGATCGATTTCTTTATTGTGCTGTTACTTTTAGTAGTAAAGAGTAAAAGCAGGATGCAAAAATACTGACGTAATAATTGTAACCCCAATATAAGCAACATAACTGAACCACTACACATGATTGAATACCATCAATAGAAAACATTAAGCAAAAATGTCTGGTTAATAAGCAATTTTCAGTGGCTAATCATACATTTATGATCTTCTAGGAAACTTTAATGTTTAATAAACTATGCTTTTATGAGAACCAACAATTATCGATTGGTACATTGGAAAAGAAGCAGTATACAAAACAGGTACATGCAAAGATGACTGACGGAAATTATATAACACCTCGCGTGATGATCTTTTTCCTAGCTTTCACAAGTTAACCATCTTTCCATACATAAATGTGTGTGCCACAGTGATAATTGAGGTGATTTAAGTGAAAATACGTAAGGTCCTGTAATAGAAATCACCACGTTTTACGAAAAGTAGCTTTAATCACCTTATGTGTAGTGAAAAAATCCATGGGGAAAATCGAGATTATTATTATATTTTAGTTGTCCCCCCTCATCGATTACAAGTAGATCCTTCAAAGGGAAAACTCGTGAATTAAACACAACATTAAGTGTACAACATTGAGGTAGATATTTTATAGTCAGAGAAGATTAAACAGATGAAAAACCAAAACGATACAAGAAGTTTCGTGAAAGTAAGAGATGAAAGAAGTTTGATTGGAAAATAATCAAAGAATAGTATTAGAACTGAATAAAATGAAATTATTGTTGTGAGTGAAATCACCTTAAAAAATTTTTACTCAGATTTCATATGCACGAAAGAGTTTCAAAATGCTAGAAAGCTTATCAGAGTTGTTTTTCTCCATAAAACTCTCATCTAAAAGGAAAGTTTGATAAGTGTATCACAAAAACAAACCAAAGTCTGGAGTACTATCCAACATCCGAGGGGTTTTATCAGCATTAGTATACCAGTGCATACACTGAACATTACGGAAATTGATATACATACCTCTTCAAAATTTTTCTGCGAATCAAGATATTGTTCAAAGGAAACAGATATATTGCTGAACAACCAGAAATCATACATATTGCGTAGGTTTGGGTTAGTCAAAACTTCTTTAGCTTTCTGAATTTTTTGAAAGTATGAAGCTATAGAAAAATTTAAAACTGGCTGAAGAGCTACCTGAGTTTGGTTCTGAATTTTTGTCCGGATGGAGCTCTCTAGCTTTTATGCGATATTCATAAAGGATCTGATCTTCCTACTGAACGTTAAATGAGCAATTGCAGCAAACCGTTGAATGTTTGCTAACACCCAGCAACTCATAAAAATTGTCTTTTGCAGGGTTCGGCTCACTAAGCAACGTATTCATTTCAACGCTCTGAAAAATAAAAACGTTTACTAAGACAAAGCGAACTCAAATTCTCTTCAGAGGTTATATCTGACCAACAAAAGCTTGATAAAATACGTAAATGTGACTTAAAACCTCTTATGAACGTATATCTGAGGCACGAACTACACGTGTTATTAGTAACAATGACACCCACTTCCTGAACTTAGGTAATTTAATATGTTATTCATAGATCACCTTGTTGTGCCTAGTCTCCTAACTTTAGAGAAATTTTGGAGTCTTCCCAGAGATTGAAGGTGTTTTTTTTTCAGAAATGAGAGATTAAGATAAATACGGATTGAAATTTTCAAAGCATTGTAGATCTTCACATTAATACTGATATTTACTCTGAAACAACGTTTGCTTCGCAAAATGTCAGTCTGCAAACTTAATTTGGCGATAAAAAAAATCCTTCAATTCCGGATAACTGGAGATGCACTTCGTTTCAGATAAGTGAAGCACAACTTTATGGTATTGGAGCAATTTAAGTATTTACAACAAGTGATGCAGCCAAACATGTACAATAAGAACCAAAGATCTAACTCGAATTACTACGTGAGAAATACATACATTTACTTATAGGTAAATATGTACATCTTAATCTCCGGATTTTGGGGTCGTTATGTCGGCGCTTAAGTATACAAAATAGGAAGGATAATGTGAAGAAAGTTTTAAATATAAAATATGGAGCTACGCAACACCACAACTCTTCCATCAGTACACTGACATCATTTCGTAAGGAATCCAAACGCACTCTCAGGATCACCACAAGAATTTAAATTAGATCCCACTAGAAATGATACACAAAGTTCAAATAGCTGTCATCCTATTGGTGTATTGGTAAAACACACAAGGCAATTCAAGCAGATGAACTCAATTCAGACAGGTCTCATCAGATTTATATTGCTTATTATTCAGTAGATAGTAGGTAACATTTTATAAATTGATTGAAGCTTTGTGGTGGGGTCAGAAGACTCAATGACATACATTAACCCTAACTATTTCAGTTTCAGTTTCGGTTTCAGTTTGGAAAGGACAGGAGGCTTGATGGCCTGTGTTAGTCCTGGCAATTATGGTCTCTCAGTTGATCCAACTTTCTTTTGAAGGAGTCGACGGATGGAGCCTCAACCACGTGCTGAGGTAATGAATTCCACTCGTTGATTATTCGATGGGAAAGTCGGTAGTCAGCTGACAAGTAATTCGTTCGGGGCTTGTGAACTTTTTTGGAGTGTCCTCGTAGATTTTCTGTTTTGGAAGACAAGAAAAATGAGGGCATATCAGGTGCAAATTTGTCATTAAGCAATTTGAAAACTGTAATCAAGTCGCCTCTGATTCTTCTATATGACAGCGGGAATAGGTTTAGCTTGGTCAGTCTAGTACCATACGGGAGCTTCGCTATTCCGGGAATCAGCCTAGTTGCTGTTCTCTGAACTCTTTCCAAGAGTTCACTGTCTTTTTTTAGGCAGGGGTTAGCTGCTTGTATGCAGTACTCAAGTTTAGGGTGTATACAAAGACAGAAATGTTTTAGCGTCAAGATGCCTAAAGGCCCTGCGTATGGACCATAAAGTCCTAAAACCTTTGGCGGCTATTGCACGGTAGTGTGCAGTAGTCTTTAAGTCTTGACTAACGATGACGCCTAAGTCATTGTGTGCCTGGACAATAGGTAACTCAGTGTTATTCATCGTGTATGTATCTGTACCCTGGTGGCCAATATGCATCACAATACACTTCGAAGTGTTTATCGGCAATTGCCAGGTTTGGGACCATTCAGATAATCTCTCCAGGTCACTTTGAAGTTCTAAGCTATCGCCCTTGCTTTGTATCGCTCTCCATATCTTGACATCATCAGCATAGAGTAAGACCGATGACGATAGTAGACGAGAGAGGTCATTTACGTACAGGAGGAATAACACTGACCCCAAAACTGTGCCCTGGGGGACTCCACTAAGCACAGTTTCCCAGCTAGACAACTTGGAGTTCACCCGTACTTTTTGTTGACGCCCAACTAGGAAGTCTTTTATCCACATCAATAGATTGCCTCAAATCCCGACATTCCCTAGCTTATATAACAGCCGGTTATGCGGAACTTTGTCGAAGGCTTTGCTGAAATCGATGTAAGCTACGTCTATAGGTAACTTTTGATCCTTAAGAGCGCACCAGCTTTCACGAGCGACTAATAAGTTTGTGAGACAAGAGTAACCTGTTCTAAAACCATGCTGCTTTTCGGAGAGGATCCGGTTTTCATCGAGATACTTTAACAGTTCCTTCCGAATAATCTTTTCTAAGATTTTAACAACCACACTAGTTAGGCTAATTGGTCGGTAATTCTCAGGCTTATGTTTTGTACCTGTTTTGAAGACTGGACTTACTATGGCGTTTTTCCAGTATTTTGGTAGTCGACCTTGGGTTACGGATAGATTAAAGCATACACTTAAAGGGTTCGCAACAAAGTTAGCTAATTCCTTAGGTAACCTAGGATGCAGTTCATCGGGTCCAGTGGATTTATGTATGTCAAGCTTGACTAGCAGACCAAAGACATCGAGTTATTTAATGGTTACGCTGTCCAGTGCTTGTGTGGGGGATTTTCATTGACTGGTGAGAAGGGTGTTTCTATGGTGTATACATCGTTAAAGTATTTAGAGAATACTTGAGCTTTGCCAAAGTCGTCCTTCACTAGTGATGAGGCAGTACTGTCTCCCCATAGTGAAGGAACATTTCTTCTTCTTTTTGTCCTTTGGTTTATATACGAATACAAGCGTTTTGGGCATTCTATAGATTCCCTAACGATTTTCTCTCCGTACAGCTTTCTGGCCTTACGGAGGGCCGAGGCACAGGTATTTCGAGACTTTTGATACTGAGATTTTGCCTCGTCAGTCCCCAGTAACCTAAATCTGTCCCACATTTTCCTTCTTTTACGGAGAAGGATGCGAACCTCCCTACTGAACCACGGTGGTGAGTTTCTCGGCCCCTTAGGTGTAGACCAAGGGATGTGGGGGGGGCGGTAACTTTTAAGTATAAGTTCCGGAATACGTCCCAAGCCGTTTCGATTGATGACTCTGGGTCTATTTTCCAATCTACTGATGATGCTGATTTCATGATGTCTGGTATGTTTGCTTTCCAGACGTTAGGTCTGGATTGAGCTGAGGCGTGCTCGTGATCGGCAGTTATATGGAAGTCAAAGCTTAAAACTGCATGATCACTTTTGCCTAGGGGTGGCATGTAATCCAGGTTTGCAACATCATCCTCATAATTAGTCAATATAAGATCTAGTAAGGATGATGCGGAACCGGGGTCGTACCTAGTTGCTTCCTGCACGTGTTGCACTAGGGCACATGTGATTACCGCATCAACTAGTTCCTGTTCGAAGGAATTAGCTGACGATTCAGTCCGCAGATTTCCCCAGTCCACCATGGGTGCATTAAAGTCCCCTAGGATTAGACGTCGATCACTTCGTGATAAAGTGTTGAGACTGCTTAGCAGGACCTCGTTTGCCTCACAGCTTGGACTGCGATAGATCAAACCAAGCAGCAACTCTTTTCCCCTGCATTTCAGGCGGCAGCAAACTAATTCATACGTCCCTCTCTCATGAGATACACTGTCGATAATGGCGAATGGAATAGCATTCCTAATGAATAGAGCTACTCTCCCTCCTTTACGCGTTTGTATTCTATCGGCCCTTACTAATGTAAAACCCTCGAAATCAAGTTCCCTACTATCTATAGACGGCGTCAGCCATGTTTCTGTGACTGTAATTATGTCTGACCTAGTTGAGTCAATCTGTACACCTAGTTCTGGTGGCTTATTTAGTAAGCTCCGGGCATTGGTATAACAGATCCGAAGCCTATTTAGATGGCCTCGTGCTTCACCCACAGTGCCTTCGGCATCATCCTCTATCGAAGCCTCACAACCCGAAAATTTACAATTTTCAGGTCTTTTTCGCCAGCGTCTAATCTGAGCTGTAGTTCTTTTTCGGCTTCCCGTCTTTTTACGCGGTCCGCCAACGCTAAGTCCTTACGGAGAAAAACTCCTGAACCCTTTAATTTGTGTCCATTTTCTAAGATTAAGTCGCGTTCGTTTGGGGATTTGAAAACGACTTTGAGTAGTCTAGACTGATTTGGTTTTAGATGCGCTAGGTTTTCCAGTCTATACGCCCTTAGCAAAGTGACTCCGGAGATTTGTGTCAGTATAAAGTCCTAGTGAGGAATTCCGTCATTTCACTTCTTAAAGAAAGGAAAACTTCAGACATATAGGAGTCGGTCTCGAATTTCTTAAAATTTTAAGTTTTCTACCAGATAACCGTTCACTATACAGTAACTTGTGTTAGATTATTTTAGAAAACTTCTGTAACATAAGGTAGATGAGTTGATAAGTCTTAGCCTCTCAACAGAATTAGTCAGTCACATCTACCATTTTTACCTCTGACTATCTATCAAACCTTGCACTGGTAACATTGAAGTGCATTTTTGGCCAGTTTAACGGAAGAACTATCCACACAATCTTCGTCTCCACTTAGAGTGAGGAAACTTAGTATTTCCTCCCTCACTCCAAAAGGATAAGGACACTCTGGAGAGTATCAAATTGAGGGCCACGAAATCAGTTCAGGGACTGAAGTCCAAGCCTTATGACGAGCGCCTATAATGGCTTAACCTTTACCCATTAGAGTATAGGCGCCTTAGAGGTGACCTCCAAATTGCTTACAGTGTCCTTACCACTTCTGAACATCCCCTTAAACACCTACTTAAGCTTAGTCTCAATACAAACCTAAAGAGTGACACCAAGAAACTGAAGACCCAACATATCAGAACGGACTGTAGACACAACTTCTACTCCTTAAGAGTTGTTAAATGCTAGAATTCGCTGCCGACTGAGTTAGTCAAAGAACTTCACATGAGTCCTCTAAGAGGAAGCTTGACCTATTATTAAGGACCAAGGATAAAATCTTAATGTTATTTACCAATATCTTTTTTCCTTTATTATCGTTAATATACCGAGGTTCCTGCCTGGAGGTAATGATTCACTGCTACTAGACACGGAAGCCCGTTAAGCGAAAGCTTCTTCTATTCCATCCACAACCATTTCAAAAGTTTTCTAAAATACGTTTTGAAATTATCCTACTTGAGTCTCTGAAGTGTCCACAAGGTCCGATATTGCCGGTAACCACTTTACTTGTGAGTCGCTTATTGGGAGCGATAGGATACTGCAGGATTTGACAGTGAATATGTCGAGGACATGCAGCATTAATAGCGATAAAGTCTTAACCCACTACTTTTACATGGATTTCCAAAACTAATCAAACCAGCACTCGAGAACAAAGGGATCAGAGGACATATTTATGTAATGATGGATGTGTCGAGATGCATTCAGCTTGATAGTCAACATAAGAGATGACCAGTACAAAGAACCCAAATGATTGGGCCCCCTTAGCTAGAGTATGTCTGTTAAAACTAATCACTAATTGACTCATGATCTCAACTCTATAAAATTGTTAAAATCTCCACAAAACCCCTTCTGATAATGACCATGTGCTCACTAGTGACTGGCTTCATGAGGTATTTCCCGGAGTTCTAGTGAGAAGCAGTAAACAGTGGAATTCAACCAGGTCTGTTGTGAGATAGTAGCTCACTGATGACATTAGTGAACAGTTGCTCATTTTCGTGGATCAGTTGAAGTGAGACATTAACACCGTTGGATGCCGGCTCAGTGGTCTATCGATTAAGGGCTCCGGCTCGAAACTGGTAGGTCCTGGGTTCGAATCTCGCGATTGCGGGATCGTGGATGCGCACTGCTGAGGAGTCCCATAATAGGACGAAACGGCCGTCCAGTGCTTCCAGGTTTTCGATGGTGTTCTAGCTTCAATTGACTCATGATCTCAACTCTATAAAACTAATGAGTTCATGATCAGTCTTGAAGAGTTATAAGACTGTCCATTTCGGAGTTTTATTAACTAACAAAACAATAACACTTCCATAACTTCTTTGAAGAAATGATTCCAA